TAAACAAATTTCATGTTCATACACTGAAAGTCTTGAATACACTTTCAATCTGACCATAATAAAAGTAGACGACCCTCGGTTACTTCGTTGGATCATGAAATCAAATAAGCAAATTCACTTGACATAGGTACCCAATAATGTACAATAGTTTTTTACCGAACATTATTTACTTATTCACCAGAAGAGCTACTTAGTAACCCAATACCACGACGTGGTTTCTATTATTTTTGGAAATAAGTAATATATTTTTTCTGCAACCGACACAAAAGTCATCCATTTTGATACCAAAATTAGCTCTTAAATTGACGTTTCTATTACTGACACAAAAATAGGTATGTTGCTAGCAACATATTTAGTTCCTAGGAGGTAAAGTTGAATTTTAGTTCCTAGGAGCTAAAGTTGAACTTTAGCTCCTAGGAACTAAAAAGGATCTACTGGACGTCATCAAGAATCAACAACATTGTGATGGTTGGTTATTTGGGTTGAGACGCATACCTGATTTGTTTCCGATTTCAGCAGATTTGGCATTTCATACCCATGCTAGAGATATAAAGTTTTAGGGTTTGTTCGGGTGCTGCACTCCAAATATGGGAACAGTATTTCAGGACAGGTCGGATCTGTGCCTTATAGATCATAAGCAGCTGACTGGAAGTTAGCACTAATTGTCATTAAACTTATTATAAATTCTAACCAAAATTATTTCATCAAATTAGGCGAATGAAGAAGTAATAGAAGTTGTGTTTTGAGTTTCAAATTTGGGTCACTTTCACAATAGACTGAGAATATATCAATACTCCCACGTATATCATACTAAGTAATGGTGATAATTCAAATTGGTGCGTGTCTTTTCGGTGATTAATATGCAATATACACACCTTTAAATTATCAACGAACGACGAATATTGTACAAATGTATGTAATATCGCTTAAACGTAGCACCTACGTAGCTATTTATTAAGGAAACGACTTTATTTATAACTATGACTTAGCGCAATTTATTTATATTCAAATGGGTAGTTTTGCATGGTTTTGCGTTGTTATTTCATCAATATCAGTCATCCTCGACTCCAATATGGTGAATATACAGGGTGTCCCATGAGTCATGAATCAAAAGGAGTGGGGTAATAGGAGGGGGGTCATTTGCAATCAGACTAACCATATATTATGTGGTTGTCCAATTTTTCATGGTTCAAAAGTTATAAATTTTTTTCATCACTATAAAGAGATTAATTACAATCAAACTTTGTCACAGTTGTGATTTTTCCTTTTACAAATTTCATCCCCATTGGTGCACCTTTCTCCAGAAATAATTTGATGATATGTGTACCTTCCTTCATTTACCTAAGAAAAATGTTGTATTCCTCAAGTTTTGTCATTGAGTGAAATATTTCACTTGATTTTTAAATGCCGCTGGTAGATTTATAAAGTACCCCATAATGATAACCAGTTATAAGAAAAACTTGCACATTTAATACAGATTCCGAAATGGTATAACATATGAGGTTATTCAAAACAGCCTTTTTTATCAATTTTTCTCAAATGGGTCGCGTTTTTCAAAAATATACCAGATACACCATTAGTTCAATTGCAAATGATCCCCCTACCACCCCATTACTTTTGATCCATTACTTATGGGACACTCTGTATACATCTGAATAGGGAAATACACCCAACATTAAATTTATTGTATGAATTTTTCCTTGTATATTTCGAAGTTAAAATCACGAAGCCAAGTGATGGAAATGTAGAATAATTATATTTCTTCTACGTATTACCACTTATACTCAATTAACATTCATTCTTTTATCACATGGAATTCAAATAGGTCACTTGATCTATATGAATCTTTCATTAAAACATTTACCATATTGATTTCTCACCGATTTCTATTGCCAAATGATTGTGAACAATAACATAATATTGAAATCATGAAGATTGGCAAAGCTGATCAGTATCACTCAGTACTTACTGCAAGTGGTTCAAGAATCAGAATTTTGATCGCCTGTAGATCAAACGTGGAGATGAGACATTTGAGCCGATTTGACCAATAATTAATTGTTTCGACACAATAAAGTCCTGAAACATCTCGATTTTGAACACCCTATATCAAAGTGTGAAACATCGATGAAATCAGCTCTCCAGGGAGAATAAAGAAATGCAATGAAATACAGGGAATTCCATTTGAAATAACAAATGTGTTGCTACTTAGGAGATAGAAGCGGCAACACTGCATTGTCGAAAATATTTCAAACGAATAAGAGAGAGTTATCTCAAATATAAGCATGTATACTCTTATGAGTTTCTTGCGACTAATTCTCTGTATAAAAGTATGGTGAGCTTGTCGTGACATACCCCGTACCTATAGTTGAATTATTGCTTGGTCTACTGGATAAGAATTAAGATTTATGTAATCTTCTGAATTATTGTTAATGGAATAGAGCAGTTCAGCTACCGTTGAGAGAGAAAAAAAATGTCTTCCCCATCTGTCCTTGTCTTCAGTGTTCCAACATAAAATAATGAAAATATTATGTTGGCATCATTGGAAATGGGACAAAATGGAGAAGAATATCATATTAACCTCGATATAAAAGAAGGTTAGAACGGTCTTCTTCTCCATTTCTTCTCATTTCCAGTGTTGGCAACATAAGATTTTCATTATTTCATGTTGGAACACTGAAGACAAGGACAGATGGGAAGACATTTTTTTCCCTCTCAACGGTAGCTGAACTGCTCTATTGAAAAAACTGTTACAGACTCGTATGCCGAGCATAATGCCGTGAATAAAAAAAACATTTGTCAAGAAAGGAGACAGTGTGTCAAAACATGATGACACTGCTACGGGAGGTCAAGTATTTGAGGAGTAAATGGTATATTTTGTTCCTCCCTGTACACCGTGTCCCAGATATTTTCGAATAGCCAATATATCAGTTATGCTGCTCAGAAAAACAGATTGAAAACATTATACTTTCCTCAAACCCGAATAACTTTGAAACCATTGTGTCAAAGTCAACTTCTGTCAAACTACCCCTGAAAAGTAACCTTCAACTTCAGATATTCATGTTACACCCTATATTTTTTTTGTTGATTTATGAAGTGCAATCAATTCTTATTTCAACGATGTATCACACTTGGATTTAACGTTACGGGCGTTGTCTTAGTTGGATCAGAGATTATACAGACTAGGGGAGTGTATAATCTCTGGTTGGATGTACAACCTACAAACTGACTCAAAGACGTGCTGGTGCAAAAACTGTCAAAAAAAACTGACTGAAAGACGCGTGCATACAGTGTGACCCACTTATAATGGAAACACCTCTGTATCTTACGTAATCGTTGGGTAGGGATCCTGAAATTTGCTGGAGCGATAGATATACCAAAAATGCACTATATGACCAAGTGGGGCCATCTTCAGTGATATACACTGCTCGCCAACAACCATGGAACCACCCCAATTCTTGGAAAATGATATTAGGAGTCAAAATAGGTCGAAAACCACTTCAAATTCGGAATCAGGACGCACGCTTTACTTACGATTCATATTTTTCTCGGAAAATTTTCAGTTCTGAAAAATTAAATTTTGTCGCACTTTTTACGGAAGCACCCCCGTATCTTACGTAATTGACTTCATCTTTGGACTTTGCCTTCCTCCTGCAAATTCCAGAACCCTACCTCAATAATTACGTGAGATACAGGGGTGCTTCCATGAGAAGTGAGACAAAATTAAATTTTTCTGAACTGGAAATTTTCTAGGAAAACTATGAACAGCTAGTGAATTGGGCGTCCTGATTCCAAATCCGAAGTGATTTTCAACATATTTTGACTCCTAATATCATTTTCCGGAAACTGGGGTGGTTCCATGGCTGTTGGCGAGCAGTGTATATCACTGTAGATGACCCCACTTGGTCATAGAGTGCATTTTTGGTATATCTCTCGCTCCAGCAAATTTCAGGATCCTTACCCAACGAATACGTAAGATACAGGGGTGTTTCCATTAGAAGTGGGTCACACTGTATAAGCAAGTGTAAAAAAAACATGACAAAAGGAATGATCAACACCTGATACTGTTTCCTTCCAATTTTCTAATTATGGTAATCTTACATTTGTCAAAATATCGTTGAAGTTAGAATTTATGGCACTTTACAAATAAACCAAAACATTTAGAGGGTATCACTTGAATAATTGAAGTTGGTTTCAGGGCTAGTTTGACTAAAGTTGACTTTGATACAACAGCTTCAAAGTCATATGGGTTTGACAGTATTGATTTTTTTATTTTTTTCCCAGCAGCATAACTGAGATATTGGCTGTTTGAATCTGGGACACCCTGTTTAGGGAGAAACAAAATATACTTGTCAACACTCATGTTTTGATACAGTGTGTGCCCTTTTCTGACACAAATAACTGTACACTGCTTGAAAAATATCCATGTCGGGAATTAATTGCCAAGGAGTATTTTACTTGATTCAGGCGCATCAATGAGATTTTGTCCTATTTTCTTATCATCCTGTATATATTCCACAATAGTGCTTTTTTCGTCTTTCATTGTCCTCCACAAAACATGAGAACAGTTCTTTCCAATAGTCAGCTCAAGTGGAGTTCTAGAGTAAATTTTCATGCAAGACTTTCGAAAAAAATCGAATTTTTGTTCCAATGGCCAATAAAGAAGAAATCACGAAAACGTCCCGAGATGAGGTCCCAATGTATCATAATATGACTGACATTCGCTCAGAAAAAAATTTCCCAAGTTCTGGCAGCATTGGAAATGTAGACCATAGTGTAATGGTTCCACTTCACACCCTGTGTAAGTTTTGTTCTGCGGACTTTTTCAGAGTATTCTAGCTCATCTGATATCGAAAACCGCATGAAGATCGGTCAATTTTATCAAAAAATACAGGTCTTCGAAATAGAGTCAAATTATGAACGGTCCATTTAGAGTGTTGAGAACTGTATTCACAAAAATGTTTTTCTCACCAGCTCTGAAGATCTCGTGGCAACCGTCGCACCTGGAAGCGAACTGCTGATCGTAACAGCTGCCGCAGTAGATCCTGTCGCCTTTCGATCCGAACTGCTTGTCCACCAGGGACTCGCCGCAAGTGGTGCACAGGAAGCACGCCTCGTGCCAGTGCTTGTCCTTGTAGGACAAATCCTGGAAAAGGGAAATGTCGATATTGAACTCTTTTCTCTTTTACAGTGAGAAATTTAGAGACTGCATGACCACCTTAACTTTGGGACACCTCGCATGCATACGTGACCATTTGCTGTCCCAAAGTTGACCTGGTCTGCCTCTACTGTGTGCGGTCTTGGATGTCTTTAAGGGGGAGTGTATAATCTCTGTTATAGGTGATATCGTTCTTATTTATAGGGATATTTCTATGACTACCGCAAAACTATGATTACTGCAAAAGTGCGCGAGTGCGTGTACACACGGAGGGATACCACCCTCACTACGTTTCGGGACCGAATTTGCTCCCAAAGATAAGTGAACATTTTATATTTTTTCTATGTACCTTTATTTCTCTTCTCTAAACTTTTTTCAATACAAATTGTTACTGACAAGCTAGTGAATTTTTCTTTTAGGCTCTCTGATAGGAAAATTCTTTGAACGCAGTGACATTTTGGGGCAAATCATCTGATTTGTCCTTACTACACGTATATTGAAATGATATTCATATTTTTATTTTATAGAAACGAGGAGAGAAAATCCCAAAAAATTTGGAATAATGACTGTACCACCTCCTCGATTAACCTACAGACAGCACTTGCTATTATATTCTTTATTTTTTTATTTCAATTTATTTTCTGATTGTCTGATGATAGATCGTCATACTTGATTGGGTGGTTTTATTGCTCTTGCTATAAGATGGGAGAGAGTTCTTGGATTGTAACTATCTTTATCAAGAATTTTTTTTTCATCAATATTTTTCCACAAAAAAATAGACTGGCGCTCATTTTACTTAGCACGATCGAAATTTCATCCTGATAGTGGTATTGGTGGAGTACATAGTATATTGAGAAATGTCGGATTGACGGAAACAGGTTTTGGGTTTTTTGTCATTGAGTTGTATGAAAACCTGAAGGTGGAAATAAAGTTTAGAATCCTGAAATATTATAATTCATTATTATCCGTGTCCTATCTAAAGAGGCAGTTATCAATAGCACAAAAATCGCCTACAGTAGAAATAGTCCAGAGAATTCACTCCTCAGGAATCTCATTGCTCAATAATTCGAAGAGCAACGGGCATTTTGAACTCTTCACATTACAAGTTTTTTAATTTGTAAATTATCAACTAGTGATATTATAAGGACATGAGTGTCTAAACCAAGGTGTTGCTGCTGGCGCAATCTTCGATGTTATCATTCAATTTATTGGTATCTCCCTATGACTACTGCAAAAGTACGCCAGTTCTTGTACTCACGGAGCGAAACCAGACTCAGTTATGGTGCGCCAAACGAACAAGGTTCCGCTCGGGGGGCCTTTCGCGCACTCACCTTGGAATCGATGCCGATCGTCCTGCTGCACTTCTCGCACGCGTTCGCAAACACCGACTCGTAGCAGGAGACGCAGTACGGATGGTCGTCTCTGAGGACGTACCGTTGGCCGGTGAGGCTCTCGTCGCATTGCCAGCAACAGAAGTGCTGACCGTGCCAGTCCTTGTTCATCGCCTTCGTGTACTCGCCGCTGAAAATCAACTGAAAAAGAAGGAAAAGATGAATTTCATGAAGAAGTAGTAGTTGACAACATGAATATGGACTTGGCAACAATTCTCGAATGGGGATCCGATAACTTGGTAGATTTCAATGCAAACAAAACACAAGCATGCCTTTTCTCTAGGAAAGCCGATCTCACTGTGGCCAACATAAGCCTGCCAGGAGTAACCATGCCTTTGAAGACATCCATTTCGATGCTTGGTATTACTATCAGCAATAACCTTTCTTGGGAAAATCACGTGAGATCAATTGCTAAAAGTGCATCCCACAAACTTTGTTTTCTGTTTCGGGCCACGAGCTATTTCACTTCCAGTCAGCTGCTTATAAAGCACAGATCCGACCTAACCTGGAATACTGTTCCTATATTTGGAGTGCAGTACCCAAACATACCCTGAAACTGTTGAACTCTGTCCAAAAAAGGGCAATTCATCTCGTGGGTGATGCGTCGCTCACGAACTCACTCACTTCTCTGGAACATCGTAGACAAGTTGGCGATCTGGCCCTATTTTATAGATAATTTCATGGACGATGCTCTTCTGAAATATCAACAATTGTTCCTCCATTGGCAGTCCCCGCGAGATTATCCCGTCAAGTTGAGGCTTCGCACCCCTTCGTGGTCACTTTGGAGACCTGCAGAACAGCTCTTTCCAAAGACTCGTTTATCCAACGAACAGCGAGGCTCTGGAACACATTGGCAAGTTGGCGATCTGGCCCTATTTTATAGATAATTTCATGGACGATGCTCTTCTGAAATATCAACAATTGTTCCTCCATTGGCAGTCCCCGCGAGATTATCCCGTCAAGTTGAGGCTTCGCACCCCTTCGTGGTCACTTTGGAGACCTGCAGAACATCTCTTTCCAAAGACTCGTTTATCCAACGAACAGCGAGGCTCTGGAACACATTGCCAAGGTAGGTGTTTCCCGAGGCATATAACCTCCAGAAATTTAAGAAGAGCACCAATTCCTACCTTATTTCCCTTGGTTTCCACGATGTTCTCTGAACATTACAGGATATTCCTTTTCGTAGGAACCAGATCATAAAAAAAGAAGATCTCATTTTCCAGCTGCGTTGAGTGCAAGGGCGTCGATATGGGGGGGTATTGGGGGTAATTACCACTTCCCCCTCCCAAGAACTTTAATGAATACAGTAAATTATCATCATCATCAACGAACGCAAGTCCGATATAGCTGTATCACACAACACACCACAACATTGTTTCCAAAATTATCCATAGTGGGAGGTGGGAGTCTCTTATCTCCTTGAAGACATAGGAAACCTTCACAAAAAATCAAACTTGGATCTGATGATGCCTCGACCTACCCAAAGGCAAACACATCGAGTTGATATTCCATGAGGTCCTATTGCAGAATACTTCCGAAAAAGTATTTTTATTCCTCTTCTAGATAACGTGATTGAAGATCCTAAATTTCGATTTCATAATAAGCTGTACAGAATTCTCGACATTGATAGCTTAAATCCATCAAACATCAAATCAGTCATCAATGCGGACTATTCCACAATAAAACAAAACTTAGCAGAATATTCATCGAATCTCACGAACGAAGGTAAATATTGGTTTAAAAACTGGGATGGTGCCACTGATGAACATTTTTCTAGTTCGGCATCATCTGCTTTACAGGATACTTATCCAAATGTATACCTAGCTCTATATTCAATCTCTGTCATGCCTGTGAATGTAACAAGCTCGGAAAGAAGTTTTTCAACCCTCAAGAGGTTGAAAACGTGGCTTAGGGCAACAATGGGCCAAGAAAGGTTAGTGACATTAGCATTGCTACATATTCATAGGGACATAGATTCGAATTTAGATGCTGTACTGAAGGGGTTTGGGAAAATTGAAAAGAGGCATTTAGATTTAATTTTGTAAATGTAATAGAGTTTCTTATCCTTTTTGTCTCGTTAGTTCCTACCGACTTGCCAAAAACACACTGATTTTGTTATTCATTTTTAAAAGAAGTTTGTGTTTATTTTTATCTGTGACTTGTTTGTCCAGGGACGCGCCTATACAGTGGCAACTGCGTGCACCGCACACGGGCGGCCACCCTCAGGGGCGGCCAATCCTAATCACGAGATACTAAATACTCCATTATCTTGAACATAATAATACTCTAAAGACTATGAAAATTCTCGTGATGAAATGTCAATCCCATTCAGTAAATCTAGTAAATCAACAACGACTCAACACTTGATAGAATAACAAATAAGAACAAACAACATCTCTCAAGCTGATGGCCCACAGGAGTCAGGACGATAACGGTACGATTTCTCGCGATATACTTTACCATCGCTTCGCATTAGCTGAGTATTGAATGTCGTCGCGGGATTTTATAGCCATTGGACTACATTCAATTGTATGAAAATTTTGTCTTTGCGATATCGCGTACGATGCCATTAAGCCTTTTTGGCATATAACTAAGTACATTTTTAATCCACTTGTGGAAGTATCTCAGGATGATAGTTTCGATTTGTCGACTAAACATTGATCATCAATGGCTAACAAAATCAATAAATTTCGATGCATCTGTTCCAAATTTTTCCAATCTTTAGCAAATTTTTCCAATGTTCTACACTCAATATTAAAGTATGTCTTGATCAATTGAATTTTTTTCGCTGCATTCAGATCCGATGAAAACTATTCAAAAATTTTTAAAGATTCTCGGACTATAGCTGATAATTCAGATTTCGAAAGATACTTTTCAGAACCTTCTCGAAGAAGAAAGATGAATTCGAGATACATTTTTTTATGTCATCAGCGACCAAATAATATGTTCTCACAATTCGAGTCTCTGGATTTCTTCACTTAGCTTTCGGTAAGGACTTTGATGAAACAAGTTTACTCGAAAGTTGTGAAAATTTGCAAAAAAAGTTAACAAATGAAAATCCTCAGGATGAAGATATAGATGGGATAGATTTATTTAATGAAATAAAATCATTGAAAGTGATATGTCATGAAAATATAGAAAATGATCCACAACAAATTTTATAGTATATACATTTAATGAGCAGCTTTCCAAATATTTCAGTCTCATTCCGCAGTCGTATTTCAGTTGCTTCCATATCCATCGAATCTGAATTATTAGAAACAATTGATGTTGACGTGCTCATCAGAGAATGTGGTCGCAGCAGAAAGCGAGAAAAATTATATTTTCGAAGTATAACCTGAACCTCATATGTTGATGAATCAATGTTAATTTTACTATTTGTAAATTATTTGTTATGTTACTTATGATTATTAATAGGTTATGCTATGTTCCGTAAATGAAATCATCTCTAGAGACATCTTAAAACGAGTTAGATATGTTATTCGTTACTTCTCAGTTCCCAAAATATACCAGTTTTCAAAATCTGTTTTATTTTCAATGTTTTCGAGGGCGGCCCAGAACATATTGCACACGGGCGGCGAAGTGTCTAGGCGCGCCCCTGTGTTTGTCCATGCAAAGGAGTTAATTATTGCCTCTAGTACCTACTTGCCAAAGAACATTGATTTTGTCATTTATTTATAGACGTTTGTGTTTTTTGTTTTTGACTTGTTTGTCCAAGGTTTATTTTCTTTTTTAATTCTATTGAATGTCATTTATGGTTCAACAATATGTTTTTCATTACCTCCTGAACCAAAAAGCATCTACGCCCTCCCCAAGACAAAAAATTATCGACGCACCTGGTTGAGTGCCGCTTATCTATGTTGAAACTATGTGTTTGGTACTACGATACTGACAAAATAGATACAATTATCCTCAATGATCATATTACTATCGGCAGCATTACTGTATAAGAAGATATCAGAAAAGAAGAAGCTGAATAGAGATCCTGGAAAAATTTTGAAGGTCTCAGACAGGCTAAGATGCCACTCGGAGTACTGTGTACATTTTTTTAATCTCTAGGGGTGCACGAAAGGGAATGTAATAATGTTCGGAGAACATTGTGCGTACCCCAGGAGTATTGGATCTTTTAAAAACTTTTGGAGATTACAAGTAAACCTCCTTTGGCAAACGAGTTTTGGTAAAGATTTGTTCGACATATCACAGAATCAACGACAAAGAAATGTGGTGACTGGGCTTGCCGAGTTCGTCTGACTGGTACTGCTAGTGCTGGAATGAAGAATATTTCCTGTGGAAGTAGTTATAGAGGAGCAGAAGGTCGCCGACTTTTCTTCGGTATTCTGATGAGGTCAATGAGTAGGTGAGTGTGGCATCACCCACCAGGCGAATGACTCTTCTCTGGATGGAATCTAAGAGCATCAGCGTATGTTTGGGTGCTGCGCCCCATATAGTGGAAATAGTATTCTAGAACAGGCCGTATCTGTGCTTTGTAGATCATGAGGATCTGTTGAGGTGTAAAGTAGATTCTCGCAAGAAATAAAAATCCAAGTTCAATTTGAATAAAAGTGAAATTTTGCAAGAATGTTTTTTTTTCAACACTTTCATATATTTATTGAATGCGCTATCGATATCAACCCAATTGACCCTAAAACTATTTTTTTTCCGATTCTGTATATTATCTTCTTGAAATCGATCAATAAAAGGTCCAATAAGTCTAGAGGTAATCATAAAAATTTTTTTCGATCTCCAGTGTTGGAAAAACAAGGATAAAGGGCTACTATTGGAGAAATAAATGGAGATTTGGAAATATTTTTATATAATATCTCACAAAATGCTTGGAAAATTTTACTTCCTTCAGAAGTGACAAAAATGTGAGAAAATTGTCGAAACAGAGGTGAATTTCCATGGGATCTTTGTGCAGTTTGAACTGGTTGCCATTGCATAAACGTAGAATCTAAATCTCCATTGAGAGTATAGTCAAACGACTTTTTGAGTTTAGGTCGTCTTTCAACAGTGGACAGATTGTCACCACTGTCCTGTCGTCATCACCTTCCACGTCAAATTCAATTTACGCAATGGCTCTTAGTTGCACTCCGGGTAAATTATTTGGAACAACAACATCTTCAGCCCCAG